GGCAGAGGAAACTAGTTTATGTGGGAATTGTTTTGCTTCTCGAGGAAATACAAAGTAGTTCAAGAAATAGTTGATCACTAACATGTTGTATCGTAAAGCTGGAAAGCGAAGTTGAGTTCGCTGTTGATAATCTTTCAGATTAACTCCTCGCCATTGTTGAATACTAGTTGGTATAGCAGTTGCATTCTCGTACAGAATCCATTGATCATAAATTGATGCAGGATCATTCTCATGGTCATTTAAACGATCAAAACATTGAGTTAATTGTGAATCACTCAAGCCAGAATAATAGTAGGTCAGATGTGTCAAAACCAAGGCAACATCTGGATGGCCGAATTCAGTTCTATCAGTTGCCACGTCTTTTGCACGATATGGGACAGCTAATAGACGTTTGAAAGCAGGATTGGGGTTAATTCCATAATTAACTCGGTAACGCTTTTTCAAAGCAACTAATAAGACTTCAGATGAGAGGAGACCGCGAACAACGAGGAATAACTGAATATCAAGAGGTGAATACTCATCAACATATTCGTCAATACAAAGATCAGGATTTAAAACCAACTCGGAGATGTCGTCTCGTTGTTTCTGTCGGTGAGGTCGCGTACTAAGCCAATCGTCAGCGATCTTTTTACATAAAGTTGAGAATGGTTTATGTGACTGTAAGCGAAATTGTGGAAAGGCACTTTTTCGTTCTGCTGGCTTATAACAAACATCTTCTTGAAAATCCATTGAAATCTGCTCTGCATGCATTTTAACTAGCTGCAGTATAGATTGAATCGTTGCCCATCGTTCTGCGCCTGCATCCACTTGTTGTTGACTGCCTACAGTGTAAATTAATTGATATTTAACGTGCAGAATCTCATCCGACTCATCCAAAATATCTCGCGTATGCTTTTTTAGCCATCTTTGCATAGTTAACATCGAACGACTAACATCAAATTCCTCGCGTCGACTTTTGTCTAGAGTGAGTAAATCAAACGACAAGATATCTTCTGGTGAAGTTAATATCACATCACAATTATTCAATGCTTGTTGAAAACGTCGAAAAATTCCGTTTATTTGTTCATTGGTAAAGTTCATATCACGACGACAGGCAAAGGGAAACACACGTCTGTTTAATAAGCCACCTAATTTGTACCGTAGTGATTGATAGTTTGTTGGAAATAATGATTTAAGCACGACTATACGAATTAACGTAGAATTCGGCTCTGACAAGCTGAGTGCTAACATTGGTAAAATGACTGATGTTTTTCCTTCGCCCATATTCATCTGCATCACAATACTTTTGGGTAATGAATTATTTGTTCTACTAGTGATTTGCATCATGTGTTGCGCGACATCGATTTGTGTCTCTCGAATTGTAATGTTCATCTCTAACTCAAGGATAAGCCAAGGAATGTAATCCGAAGGTCTCCAATTCGAGTGTGGTGTGTTGGCTACTTCTTTTTTGACTTCGTCCAACTTATTGAGGTAAGCTAGGGATGTCACAATACCATTTTCAGACACGTAAAGATTGCCAAATTTCACAATGAAAATCTACCAATACCAACCAATACTTTGTGTCAGCTATAACCAGCGAACTTCGCTCTATCTAAAANGGTAACGCTTTTTCAAAGCAACTAATAAGACTTCCGATGAGAGGAGACCGCGAACAACGAGGAATAACTGAATATCAAGGGGTGAATACTCATCAACATATTCGTCAATACAAAGATCAGGATTCAAAACCAACTCGGAGATATCGTCTCGTTGTTTCTGTCGGTGAGGTCGTGTACTAAGCCAATCGTCAGCGATCTTTTTACATAAAGTTGAGAATGGTTTATGTGACTGTAAGCGAAATTGCGGAAAGGCACTTTTTCGTTCTGCTGGCTTATAACAAACATCTTCTTGAAAATCCATTGAAATCTGCTCTGCGTGCATTTTAACTAGCTGCAGTATAGATTGAATCGTTGTCCATCGTTCTGCGCCTGCATCCACTTGCTGTTGAGTGCCTACAGTGTAAATTAATTGATATTTAACGTGTAGGATCTCATCGGATTCGTCTAAAACATCCCGAGTGTACCTTTTTAGCCATCTTTGCATAGTTAACATCGAACGACTAACATCAAATTCTTCGCGTCGGCTTTTGTCCAGTGTGAGTAAATCAAACGATAAAATATCTTCTGGTGACGTCAGTATCACATCACAATTATTCAACGCTTGTTGAAAACGTCGAGAAATTCTGTTTATTTGGTCATTGGTGAAGTTCATATCACGACGACAGGCAAAGGCAAGAACACGTCTGTTTAATAGGCCACCTAATTTGTACCGTAGTGATTGATAATTTGTTGGGAATAACGATTTAAGCACGACTATACGAGTTAAAGTGGCATTTGGCTCCGACAGCCGGAGTGCTAACATTGGTAAAATGACTGATGTTTTTCCTTCGCCCATATTCAACTGCATCACAATACTTTTGGATAACGAATTATTTGTTCCACTATTGATTTGCATCATATGGCGTGCGACGTCGATTTGTGTTTCTCGAATTGTAATATTCATTTCTAACTCGAGAATGAGCCAAGGAATGTAATCCGAAGGCTTCCAATTCGAGTGTGGTGTGTTGGCTACTTCTTTTTTGAATTCGTCCAACTTATTGAGGTAAGCAAAATGTAATGCTCGTTCTATTTGTTGCTGTAGAGTCCAGTTGACAAGAATACCGCCGAATAATGTACGTTGTTCAGTACTCAACGTAACCATAGTGGTAATTTGCTGTAAAAGTGGAATAAGAGCTGTCGGTGTAATGCGTAGTGTTAAACCTGACTGAAAAAATTGCTCATTTGAATTCGTCAAGGATTCTTCTAACAGTTTCCAGCTTTCTAAGGATTCTTCATTGAAAGATCGAAGCAATTCAATAAGTTCTTCGGTCAAGGGATCTTTATATTGAGCTGGTTTATCTGCCAGAAATTTGTTCCAACTTTCAGATAGTTGTTTTTTGAAAAAATCACCAATTTCAGTTAGAGGATTGTCTTTCTGACTGACAGATGAAAAGATTTCTTCGGGAAACGGTCCCTGTTGTCTGATAATACTGCGCGAAGATTGTGCTGTTTTCGTGAAATGGCCTTGATAGGTTTGATGAAATTTTGCATCTGCCTGTGACAATAGATTTGCATCCATAGCTTTGTTCGACCGCTTTAGTCTTATTTGATAGTGATCTGCAAACGATTCGCATGCAAATTGTTGTGGTACATACGTCACCTTTGTATCAAAGAATTCTATTCGAACGGGACAGAAAAGATTTCGAAGAATTTCTAAAAATGATCGAAGTTTTGCATTGTTGCGCCAAGACATTATCAATTGATGGATATTATTCATTTCCGTCGACGTTACTATGCTGTGTGTGCTATAGAAATTGCCAGAGCCGCTAAAGTAAGCCTGTACTTCTGATATAACTATCTGTTTGTCCTTGTTTTTGTATGAATCTAAAAAACTCAAGTATTTTACATTAACAGAGATGTCTTCGATGTTTTTATAGGTAGTAAACAGGGGAAAAATAACCGATTGTAGGGTTATGTTCCATGCTTTGAGTTGTGTCTTCAATAGTTGTAAATAATATGGATTAATGTTACATTTCTTCGAAATATAATGCAGAAAATCTAATATATATTCGAATCGTTGAATATCATCTGTATTGGCTCCCGCTGCTTGTGCTTTGAGACGATCTGCTAATCCTAACAAGCCAATCCAAATATTTCTCAGATTACGTCCTTCTGTTAGCCATCGAGATAGAGGTAACCAATTTTGTATGACTTGATCAACAAGCTCTACACTTCCACTGTTGTATAAATCACGGACTAAATCAGCAGGACAACAATTAGCTACATGTGAACACTGTTCAATGGCTGATGAATGCGGAGACATAGAAGGAGTGAGAAATTCCATCTCCTGAGGCAATCTGACCATTGGATTGTATGAGTCTCGATAATTCCAATAAAGCTTTTTCAGAAGCTGTTCGTTGTATTGTTCTTCATCAAATATCTTCGTTAGTTGCGCTTCGGAGGATGATGAGTACATAAAATTAAATTGTTGGCTAGCAGCATATATCTCTTTTGCTAGGAAATAATAACCAAAGTGTTGCATCGAATAAGGTGGACCATTTTGACTCCAATGAATGATTTCCATAGATTGGAAATTCTTTGGATAGTACTCTACTTTCGGTGTAATCGATGCGATTTGAACAAGTATCTTCAGTGAAAGTTCGTCGAAAGGTTGATCCGAAGAACAACCAGCAGATTTTAGAAGTTGAAAGGCACGTTCCATTCCTGTCATTCCAGTGTATTGATCAGGAAGAGGGTGAGAAGTCGTTGCATGTAGCAATGCTAAGTAGAGCCAACCGGTCGGGCTATCGGTTGATTGTAGAACTTTTAACCGATCATTTAAAATGAACACAAAATAATCACGGGAAAATGCACCCGATGTTGAAGTTGGGCTGATGATAACCGTCTGGTGTTCATTGGGGGAAGTGATCGAACTACAAACTTCTCCGAAAGGTACAATCAGCTTTCGATAAGGATAATTCGCCATGCAATGATTATTATCAGATAATGGGGAGAGAAGAAGACCAGACGTTAAACCCGTTAACGTCCCAAACCATTGATCTTTAGCGATACACATATCCGAATATTCACGAGATGTGATTCGATCCGTTGTGTTATTATATTGGAAAGCAATTCCCAGGCGAGATAAATGAATGTGAACAACAATATTCGATTGGGAATCACTTTCTCGCATCATGTAGACGAAAGAATGATTATCAAGACGATTGAAATATTCGTTGAATAAGATTCGAAAGAATGATGATGATCGATTGATGAGCACCTGTTGATTCGTCTTATCGGTGGTCAATATAAATCCTTTATCTAATTCTAATACGTAAGGTTTATTGTCCAGGAACTTGCTATTTTGAAATTTTACTGGTCGAAATTCGACTATTTTCTTTTTCTCATGCCACCAATGACTGTGATCGGAAACAAATGTATCAGCTAGCTCACTTTTGAAACAATCATGAGGAATTAACTGATATATATCATTGGTCGTTACATGACGTTCTTTGATTGTTAAACGTTTAGTGTCTTCATCTAGATGAAATTCATAAAGAGCTCTGCTGGCACCATGATACAAATATTTACTGATATAAGTATGTGGTAATTCGGCCGCTTGAACTTCGAAAACATGTGAACCGAATACACGGATAAATAATGGATTTGTTGTGATGTTTGCTGGTAAAAATCCAATCGTCGCATCATCAACTAAAAATGCACCCTGAACGAAATCAATTGATAGATGTCGTGATTCGTATTGTCCATCATACCATCCATCATGTGGATCATTCTTTTGTTTTCTCCAGTTTCCGTGCATACGACCGTGGCTTCGAATAACTGTCCAGTAAATTGCAGAGAATTCATTTAAACTTTCATAGGATGTTCGTTCAAGAAACTCAGTAAGCGTCGGCTGTACCATAACTAGTATTCGTTCTTTCATTCTTAGAATATTTTGCATGAAAGTGCTTAGGCTCGATCGATTCTTGTTCAAAACAGAATTATCATGAACAATCGTGGATGCTTTCAGTAAAGATATCACGTGTCCGTTGGATGATAGTAGACGTCTAAGTCGATCTGCTGGTGCTGAAAACGTTAGAAGACAAGCAGTACCGATAATAACCGTTTTCTGGCGAAGTTTGGCCATTTCGTCAAAAGCTGATGAATCAATCGTTTTCATNGAATTGAAATATTCATCAAGGCAGTCAAGTAGTTTGTACTCATTTTCGTGCTTGCCCTTAATCAAAAAATCTTCATCAGCTGAATTTGGTAGATAATGAGGGAGGAATAAATGGTTTAAAATTGATTCATCCATAAGATTTCATACAAATCTAAAAAGAAGTTAATAGATACCATGCTACACTCAAGATAAATATATACGGTGATAAGAAAAAGAAAATTACCAATGTCTACACTCTCTTAACATTTGCTGTTCTTAAGAATTCTTATATTAAACATCCTCGATATGGATTTCTCTATTCAAAGAGACGACAAAATAAACTTCGTTTTGACAAACGAGAAAGAATTCGTTTGTGCTTTTCACTACGATTATTACGGATTTATAACAATTTCGATTGTCACATGATTGGCTTGCGCTGAGAAAGGACAAAAGAATACTACCACTAACCACACATTTTGTTTTCGTCAAGATACCCACACTGGGAAAAAAGAATTAAAAAACAACGTAGAGAGCAAGTGAATGTCTATACTCTGCGGATAAGAGTGTTTTTCTTTCAGCCTCAGAAGTGGCTGCACAAGCACAACAAAAGAAAATATTGGAGAGAAAAATGTTGAAAGTAGCATATCGAGATTTTTCAGGGGCTTTTCTTGCCGTGTACATGCGACTTAAGTGTAACAAAACATATTCTCATCAGGCAAACAAATTCCATATTCTTTTGTCTTCTATTGTCGGTATTCTTATCATTTTATTCAATCTATCCCTGTATTTAACATTAAATTGGCAGAATAAGTATGCAATCGATAAGTGATGGTGCATCAAATAACACATACGATTGAATCGTAGTGGAATGCCTAGTGCTCGCTTGGCGTTCAAATCTTTTTCGGTAGCTAATCGATGTTTTTCTCTGCCCGTTGTATACAATAAAACAAACTCATTTGATCCGATGCTTCATCATGCACATACAGGAGAAAAAGTTTTTCCTTTTTAAGTGAAACGCGTGATGATGGGAGAAGGAGAAAGAATTAACAAAATAATCGCCGTAATGAAACAAGAGACAGATGGTACTATACAGGGATGCCAAATATAAATTTTCAAAATCAGGATTTTTCAGAAAAAAATCAGGAGTTTATCAGATTTTTCATCTCAAATCAACGTAGGATATCTTTCGGCCCGATTCGAGTTTTTCCAGGACTTATTCGTCCTCGTATGCATTCCAACCATTCCAACAATGATTCCAGATAGAACTCGACGAGCTCTATCGATTGGTAAAAAAATTTTCCCAAAAAGTCACTTCCTTGCCCCTAAAAATCCCAAAAAACTGACAAAAAACACCCCAAAATTGCATAATTTTCAGAAATACCTGGGCCGATTCGCCTGAGTGATATCTGGTATCATTCCAAACATGATTCCAGATAGAACTCGATGAGCTCTATCGATTCCAATCATCAGATTTCCCATAGCTCACTTTCTTTGTCCCGAAAAACGGGAAAAACCGCCGAAAATCATCAAAAGTCAAAGAAAACCCCTGGCCGATTCGCCTGTGTAGCATCTAGTGCCATTCCAAGCATGATTCCAAGTCAATCTCGATGAGTTCTATCCATTTCACACCTCATTCGCGAATACGATTCTACTAAATAATGTCGAAAGTAAAAAGATCGAATTTAAAAAGATCGATAATAAAAAAATATCGAATATGCCAATTATACAAACATCGAAAGGTGAACAAGGTGCGAATGATTTCGTTTGAGAAAGGCATTGTTCTTCACCCTCACCCTCAATCTTACACATCTATCTGCACTCTCATTTTTGTTTTCGAATGGTTTGATTTTCGATATTTTTCATTTCGACATTTTAACATTTCGATCAATTTCAGGTTAACCGGCTAGTCGCTCGTCAACCTCCCTTCGGTCGGTCACTCACGGCCGGCCATTCACCTTTGTCATCTGTTGTTCTATTTTCACATTACTCGCATGAAAATTTTACACATTAGCCTGTCCCTTTCAGCAAAAAATTGATTCTTTTCTCTGCTTTCAACGAAATGATGCCTTGTCCAATATTTTCGTTGAGGAATATACATTTGCCAAATCCTTTTCAAAAATCGTTGAAGCCTGATAAAGCTATTCCAAGTGTACAGTTTAAGATTAATCTGGAATTTAAACGCCAAGACGATCGTCGGCCTCCCTCCGGTCGGCCACTCACGACTAGCCCTTCGCGCATATACGATTAGTTTTCCATTTTCACACCGAACAGTTGACCCGCTCATAATTGATCGGTTTCTCATCCGAGATACTGAAACTTTACATAATATAGTGTGATCTATGTCACAGATTCTACTCTTCCCTCCGCTTGTGGAACTCGATAATTGAGTGGTCTCGTTCTCAAAAAGAGTATCAGTTAAATCTTCTTAAAGATCATTTAAACTATCTGCGTCTTTCAACTCTCATTTACACTGAGTCGGTCTGCAACCGAAGCTGTCAAAATTCAACATGAGTGTGCGACCTACAGGACATATTCTATTACTCTTTTCAATTTAAAGAGCTGATAATCTGCAGGGCTTATTCTCGAAGTTCGAAAAGACATCAGCAATATTCGTTCAAAATCATTGACATGAGCTGAGACTCTTATAAATCTCATCCCTTAAATAATTTTTCAAACAAACGCCTAGTCGTTCGTCGACCTCCCTCCGGTCGGTCACTCACAGCTAGCCTTTGCCATGCTACCTCTGCTATGTCCTTCACATCTGACTAACTTTCAAACTGAATAACTGCTCTTCCTTTAATTGTCGCTTCGAGGGTGGTAATTTTCCATTTATTTGATCCTGAAAAGAAAATAGAGAAAAGTTTTATTTTATGATTTGTTGTGAAAAGAACACGCATCATACTCTGTAAAAAAAAATCGGGTTATAAGGAACTATCTAAGGTTCTAGCATAGATTCAGAACCTTTTAAGGTTTCATTCGTTTAACAATAAACCATCAAAAGGTTTTAGACAATTTAAAAAACTATTTAAGAAAACCAAATGGTTTGGTACACCCAAAAGGGTTTTAGTTTGCACTACTTTTCCAAATACGGAACCTTTACAGATAAAAAATGCTTCCNACGTAGGATATCTTTCGGCCCGATTCGAGTTTTTCCAGGACTTATTCGTCCTCGTATGCATTCCAACCATTCCAACAATGATTCCAGATAGAACTCGACGAGCTCTATCGATTGGTAAAAAAATTTTCCCAAAAAGTCACTTTCTTACCCCTAAAAATCACAAAAAACCGAGAAAAAACACCCCAAAATTGCATAATTTCCAGAAATACCTGGGCTGATTCGGCTGAGTGATATCTGATATCATTCCAACGATGATTCCAAGTCAAACTCGATGAGCTCTATCGATTCCAATCATGAGATTTCCCATAACTCACTTTCTTTGTCCCGAAAAATGGGAAAAACCGCCAGAAATCATTAAAAATCAAAGAAAATCCCTGGCCGATTCGCCTGTGTAGCATCTAGTATCATTCCAACGATGATTTCAAGTCAAACTCGATGAGTCCTATCCATTTCACACCTCATTCACGAATTGCGAGCACTTCATCAGTAAGAAATCGCATAATTACCGTATTCACAGCATACGAACACAGCAACCAAAAAAAACATCGGTCGATTTATTTGAACCAATAGAATATGAGAATATGTTTTATCAAGTATTCATATTCATGGAATATACAAAATTTAGTTCTAAATAAGTAACGCTCATCCTTTGGATTCGCTCACCCTTTTCTGAAAGAATTGTCTCAGTGCTGACGACATTCAGACACTTTGAAAGACAATTAAGGCACTGCGATTGCCGCTAATCCTCAACTGAACCATGCCACTATGTCACACACTAGATTGAATAGAAGACAGAGATTGTTCTTTTTCAGGAACCGAACCGATTAGCCATTTGTCAGTGAGTAATTCTTGAGAACTAACTGTGTTCACTGAAAACCCCATCGCTCAATGGCTAGTCGCTCGTCAACCTCCCGTCGGTCGGCCACTCATGACCAGCCATTCACCTTTGTCAATTGTTGTTCTATTTTCACATTACTCGCATGAAAATTTTACACATTAGCCTGTCTCTTTTAGCAAAAAATTGACTCTTTTCTCTGCTTTCAACAAAATGATGCCTTGTCCAATATTTTCATCGAGGAATATACATTTGCCAAATCCTTTTCATAAATCGTTGAAGCCTGATAAGGCTATTCCAAGTGTACAGTTTGAGATTAATCTGGAATTTAAACGCCAAGACGATCGTCGGCCTCCCTCCGGTCGGCCACTCACGACTAGCCGTTGGCGCATATACGATTAGTTTCCCATTTTCACACCGAACAGTTGACCTGCTCATAAGTGATCGGTTTCTCATCCGAGATATTGAAACTTTACATAATATAGTGTGATCTTTGTCACAGATTATACTGTTCTCTCCACTTGTGGAACTCGATAATTGAATGATCTCGTTCTCAAAAAGAGTATCAGTTAAATTTTCTTAAAGATCATTTAAACTATCTGCGCCTTTCAACTCTCATTTACACTGAGTCGGTCTGCAACCGAAGCTGTCAAAGTTCAACATAATTGTGCGATCTACAGGACATATTCTATTACTCTTTTCAATTTAAAGAGCTGATAATCTGCAGGGCTTATTCTCGAAGCTCGAAAAGACATCAGTAATATTCGTTCAAAAATCATTGACATTAGCTGAGACTCTTATAAATCTCATCCCTTAAGTAATTTTTAAAACAAACTCCTAGTCGTTCGTCGACCTCCCTCCGGTCGGTCACTCACGGCTAGTCGTTGCCATGCTACCTCTGCTATGTCCTTCACATCTGACTAACTTTCAAACTGAATAACTGCGCTTCCTTTAATTGTCGTTTCGAGGGTGGTAATTTTCCATTTATTTGATCCCGAAAAGAAAATAGATACAAATTTTATTTTATGATTTGCTGTGAAAAGAACACGCATCATAGTGCACCCTATGTTTAGGATACTATTTGTATAGGCCATGTCTCTGTAGTTAATAAGATGGAATTGCATTTACGGGTATATCACTATGGCACATATTGCCACTAAATTCCTATTGGAAGACTAGACGTACCGCAGCCTAGAGGACACAAATGGTATTAAGCTTATACCACTTTTTATGATTTCTTGAACTAGAAATATCATGATGTATGGTATATTAAATCTTCTTCTGTAAACTCCTAAACTACTCTATTGGTCCACATCACATCCAGCAGTAGCGTTCAGACCACTACCTTCTACAAAAGATTTTAGGAAGATACAGAAAAATATCTCTTCTGGAAAAAAGAAAGAAGCAGAAGGTTCGTGACAAAGAAAAAACTAACGTCATATTTGAGTTTTTTGACCTCGATTACCCTTCGGTCAACTCCTACTCGACAAAAAAATTTTTCTCCTCACTTAATTAGTCAATTAGCGAATTAGAATTTTAAGAAACTAACATCAGATTCGAGTTCCTCGATCCCGATTACCCTTCGGTCAACCCTTCTGAAGAAAATTTTTTCTCAAAAAAAGTTATGCTTTGTCGCAAAAAAACGAAACAAAAAGATTTTTCGAAAAACTGATCACGGATTCGTGATCCTCGACCCCGAAAACCTTTCATCAATCGTTTGCCAATCATCATGGTTAAGTTTTCATTCATTTATTGAATGCTGCCATCTGATTGGATTATGCAAACAAGCAAACTTTTTGCATTTCAACGACCAGATCTAGATCTATGACGCCATAACCGTTTCTTTCAGAAAAGGGAATAATTTGTAGTACTTGTCAAATTCTTCTGATTCATACGTTCAAATGAGTCGACCAATAGAATATCTCTGTGAAATTAGCGATTTTCTTCTGTTGAACTAAACTCACAGACAGCGCCATCTTTACAGTCGTTGTGAAACAATAGCAATGATAAAATATATTATTCAATTGGTTAATCTTTTCTACGCCCGTGAAATACAAAAATACTACAAATTATTTAGAACAAAATTTTGTATATTCTACGAATATGAATACGTGATAAAACATATTCTCATATTCTATTGGTTCAAATAAATCGACCGATGTTTTTTTTGGTTGCTGTGTTCGTATGCTGTGAATACGGTAATTATGCGATTTCTNGACATAACTGAGTGGTGTCAACACAGTGGACAGGAACTGTTCCACCTAGCGCAAGATCGGCAGGCGTGGAAAAATCTGATCCCATAAAATGGTTGGCCCCAACGGGCGCTAAGCCTAAGGGACATGATGATGATGATGATGATGAATTAGTAATTAGCTAATTAGCTAATTAGAATTTCGAGAAACTAACACCGGATTCGAGATCCCCGACCTCGATTACATATGGTGAGTCATTCCCGTATGACCATCGTGAAGTTTTCTTTGAGTTGTCAAATGCTGTAATCTGATTGGCTTGGACAGACAGACAGACAAACTTTTAGCATTTCGAGCCGTCGATTTAATCGCTGTATAACCCTTTCTTTCAGAAAAGGGAAAAACTTCGAAAAAGTGATCAGTTTGGCAGAGTTTCGATTACCAGTGCCACTAAACATTGGAGAGCTGAAGATACACGGTAGTCATCTATCGGCAACTCGCTTTTCATTACCTGAACTAAACAGCCTTAGAAAACATCCTGAGAAAACACTTCTGTTATACGATTTTATACAGCTTCATCTGTTCTTTCTAATGGTGAAAACCGCAACACTATATCTTGTTTGTATCACAAGTTATATCAAAAATATTATTCGCAAGTATTTTGTCGTCGGTAGAAACATATTATGAGAAAATACACAAATATTCAAGTCGACTAACTTAATGTATTGATTGTAATGTACAGAAATCTTCAAGAGATTTGAATAGAAAAAACAATTCTCTCTTCTCATAGCAGTTTTTCACTTTATCAAGTGACAATACAAAGTTTCTAAGAAAATCACTTTTATACTGAATAGGAGATCATATTTTATGCATAGATAAATGATTCTTGTTTAAATAAAATATGAAATTGATAATTCACATATAAGAAGCGGATTTATGATTAATATAAAAAATAATGACAAAATAAATAAGTAAATAGAATGTGGCATGCGAATGTTTGAAAAAAAAACAATAATGATATCATAATGCAATTCGAAGTTAAATAAGCAAAAGCAGGAATGAATAAAGAAGTGGTTTACAACATGAATTTTTATCAGTCAATTCATAAAATGAAAATGCTTCATAATAAAATCCCTCTTAATATAATTCAGCACTATTCAAGTAACTACCACTGTATCCACCTGTAATTAACACTGTTCCATTTGCTAAGACGGATGCTGTGTGATCTGATCGCATAGAGCCCATATTTCCTGTTGCTGTCCAAGTACTTGTTGATGGATTATATAACTCAGCAGTGTTCAAGAAACCACCATTGTATCCACCTGTAACTAACACATTTCCATTTGCTAAGACGGATGCTGTGTGATATCCTCGTGTATAGCTCATACTTCCTGTTGTCGTCCAGTTACCTATAGATGGATTATATAATTCAGCACTATTTAAGTAACTACTAATGAATCCACCTGTAACTAACATATTTCCATTTGCTAAGATGGATGCTGTGTGATCTGATCGCATAGAGCCCATATTTCCTGTTGTCGTCCAGTTGCCTGTAGATGGATTATATAACTCAGCACTATTCAAGTAATTACCATTGTATCCACCTGTAACTAACACTGTTCCATTTGCTAAGACGGATGCTCTGTGACCTGCTCGCATAGAGCCCATACTTCCTGTTGTTGTCCAAGTACCTGTTGATGGATTATATAACTCAGCAGTGTTCAAGAAACCACCATTGTATCCACCTGTAACTAACACATTTCCATTTGCTAAGACGGATGCTGTGTTATATTGGCGTGTATAACTCATACTTCCTGTTGTTTTCCACACTAAATTCAACAAATATATCACAAAAAGACGCGTCTCCCAATATTTTGTTTACTTATTCTATTTATAAACGAAATAATTCTTAGTCTTTATGAATATTACTTTTCTTTCATCAAGAATATTGATTTATATTTTAGAATACTATGATAACGTGAACAGATATGAATATTACAAGCTGTCAAATATTGAAAAACAAACAAAAGATATATTCATTTTTTATTCGTAACATCCAGAAGTAATAATCATATCTTTATTCATTTGATGTACTAGATCATTTTCAGTCGATTTTTAAAGTGACAAAAAATGCATATTTCTATTTTAGATTTCCTTATGTACGAAACGAAATGAGGCATACATACACATGTTAGTTTCTAACTATTTAACAACTGTTTATCGAACAACAACTTTGGTGTATTAATATTTCACCACATATCAGAAGTATCGAGTTAAAATTTTACTTATCTTTCAGTTCTTTTTAACACTTTAGATAACGTTTGAAAATTTATTATTTAGTTTATATAGTAAACTTATATAGAAGATTATTTACGAATGCTATATGTATCATTATTACAGACATGGATGAGAAAAGACGTCAGAAACTTATATTTCTCCTAAAGTTGATACTTTCTAACTTTGTACTTTTTGTCGAAAAAGCAATTAATCAATATCATTGCTTCACTCGTTAGTTTTAATTATTTGCTTTCCAATGAAAATAATGGTTGTTGTTTAATGAAACAAGAACTTTGCGGTAGCGATCGATTCAAAAGAACTATTACGAGAAGTGACAGGTATCTAATCGAAACTACTTACCACGTGGTGCTTCTGTTGTTGTTGATGACGATGATGATGTTGATGTTGATGATGATGTGGATGATGTGGATGATGTTGATGATGACGTGGATGTTGTTGATGTTGGAATCAGAGTTAGATCTACTTAAGAAAATAACAAATTTTGCATAAATTAAAAAAAGTTAGAATGTATATTAAGTTCAGATTTAACTCATACATTTTGCGTCTCTTATTATATTTTTCCGTAGTAGGAAGAAAAGTTCATTTTGCTAGAATTATATCGAGACATCTACAACTTCTACTTATACATTTCTAATTACAGTTTTAAATCGACTCTCTTATTCACTTCAAACTGTCAACTGCAAATTACTGAACTATTTTATCTATATATTATTCTATTGATTACACACCGGGTGGATATCGTGTTCCAACAATTGAAATCATTGTAACAACATTCATTTCATTTGACATATTTCCATTTTGATTTAATGAATCATTAAATAATTGACACTGTAAGTTTGATTTATAGAAAGTAACTACCATGCATTGATTTCTGTTTAAACAATCGATTTGACATTGAAGAATACTGGATGTCGTGAGATTAAGAAATGGTAAACAGGTTGATTGAACACATTGAAATATTTTATCATTGATTATTGACATTCGCATTGATCGAATATTATCTGCCATTGTTTGTATGATAAACATCAATAACAGTAATATTGTTTTTACACAAAAATTTGTTGAAGTCATTTTGATCGCAAGTATAAAATTGATGAAATGAACAAAACTAAAAAAAATATATTCTCTACAACACTTTCTCTTTTTTTCTATACTTCTTCCATTAGTTAATTGAGAAAATATACATGCGACACCCTGCCTCTATACTAGACGCGGTCTTTGTATTAGAACAATGCGAAGAGGGAAAGAACAAAAAACTAGTTTTTATTATTACATAAATTTTCTCTATTGAAAATCGTCACAATTTCCACACTGAAAAGTTATCGTCTGAATGTGACAGAGGAACAACGATTTCGATTTATTTGATTTTTATAGATTAGAATATCATTTTAGTTTTGTCGTCACAGTGATAAAAGAATATTTTAAGGAAAAAAAATGATCGACATTTGGAAAATAAGAAGAAGAAAGTGCTTAAAATTCCTTTTCATCAAGAAATTAAAATATATTTGTTGATTAAATGGAAAGAAAAGAGGTAAATGCGGAAACTTCGGATTTATCCGAAAGCTATGTGTGCTGCAAAAAGTGTAACAGATGGAGCACATAAGAAGTCATACGGAAATAGCTATAGTTTTTCAGTAACTCAGAAATCACTCGTCCAAACAGTCTAATCTTCGAATTTTAGCGAGATTCTGGCATGAAAATATGCCGTGGAAAATTTCATCACAATCAAATTGCCCTATCAGGAGTTATACTGTAGACCAACGGTACTGATACATTGATTGGTTCTACATAGGTTGGCCGATAAATTCTTGCACTTTCAAATATGTATTCTTAGAAAAAAGCATTTTGCCAATCTTTTTATACTGAATATCTGAGTTAGTCTCGACAATGCTTTTTCCATTTAATTCATTTCTGGGATACCCTTTGGTAATTTGTACTGTACATTCTGTAGTATAGATCGATTTCAATTTGGTGGTCATTAGCTTAGCTAAACTTGTAGCAGCTGAAGTTTTACTACAAGTACAATTTGGATTGCTTAACCCTTTGAGTCCCGAATTTTTTTTAATTGTAAGTTTAGCAAAGTGTCATATTAATCATTTAGATGATATTACAAGATATGTGACTAAGTTATGGCAGAAAATTGCATGCTTTTTCGTACGTTTATTCAATTTATTGTTGATAGACATATTTCTGATGATAGAACAAAAAACAACCTTTTACACATAAAGGCACACCACAAAAAGTACATATAACATTGGTTCTTTTCTCGTTTTCTTTTTTACTACAGTGCGCACATCTGCGACGCGTAGAAATAACCTCGGGCATATGAGCTAACAATTCTGGTTTTTCAGAAGTTTTTGTTTCACTAACATTGCTTTCGATACGCATTTTCTTTTAATTACTCAAAGCTCTAGGACGTCCTGCTCTTTTCCTGCTAGATGAATTACCTATCAGGGCAGTACTAATAGATGAAATGTATTCAACTGTCCTTATACCATCATGAGAAAGATTTTTATAATATATGAAGGAATCTATCAAGGAGATGCCAAGAAAATGGAAAAAGATTCTTATCCAATTTCTTTTTGATTTTCTGTCGATTGTATAATATTTGATCTTCTGATCCGAAAGATTAACACCGCCCATATACTTGTTGTACTGAACTATTGCTAAAGGACAAGAAATTTGAATTCTGGTTCCATCTTTATTTCCTCGACTGACTTCTTCTGACATTTCTGGATCAAAATAATTCGATGCTACAAACACTTCCTTCTTATCCATCCACTTTACTATAGAAATTCCATTAGATGTCAGATATTTATGTTCACCCCTCTCAAGATATTCGTCTTTCTTCAACTCAACTGGAAAGTTTTTTCTATCACAACGAATTGTACCCGTAGCACCGATTCGTCTCCCTCTAAGTATGTAAAGCAAATTTAACGTGGTAAAATAGTTGCCAAAAAAAAGTTGACGATTTTTCAGATTTACTCCATCTATCAATGACATAACTACTTTTTCGCCTAATCCTACAGATCGTCCCGTTGTCTTTCCAGTATATATCTCAAAACTATAAACATAACCTGTGGTTGACTCAGCTAGAACCCATACTTTGTACCCTCTCTTAGTTGGTTTTAATGGTAGATACTGTTTTATTGAAGATCTGCCTTTGAATTTTACCATGAACTCATCAATAGATAAACAGAATCCTAGAGAATAGTTTTTCTGGAAATTTCTTTTCAACATAATCAGAAAATCACTAACTTTATGTAGTTTATTCTCAGTAGAAAAGTTCGATGAAAACTTTGTATTAGTAGCAAGATGAACGTTGGAAAAAACTCATTGAAATTCAGCCCTTGTCATTACATTGGCGACAGCTGGTGTAAAAAGATTCCGATCATTACTCCAATAATCACGAATTCGTGGTAATTTGTGAAAACCCATGATAAGTAAGATTCCCATAAATGAATAAATTTGGGTTGAATCAATTTCCTTCCAGTCTGTTGCATTTTTACCTTTTTCAACACAACGCTGCTGTCCATAAACGTTCGTTTGATTAACAATTAATTCAATAATGTCTTGAGATATATATTCATTGAATGCATCGATAGGTCGAACGATATTGTTTCCCAATGCACTTCCATCAAAATAATTAAAAGAACTTGTAAACATAGTATTGGCAGTATCCCATTTCCACTCATGAATTGAAACTTGATTCAGCTCATCGGTCAATGAGTTATCACCATCCGAGTCAATATCTTCTGAATCACTAGTATCACGTTCATCAGAAGTAGTTATACTACTATCGTCATCAGATGAATATTCTTCGAAATCAGAATCCATAATGCGAAACTTAACCCTTTCGAGGCGATTCAATTTTTTTAGAAAGTAGCTTAAATTTATTAATTTTCACGTGTATTTATCATCTATAAATACACCTGTTAGTTTTCTGAGGGTATATAACCATATGTTTCTCTTTGTCTAATTCTCATGCATATATGAAGAATTGTCGTTTTCATTTTATTGGACAGCTACTGAAGTTTACTATTCTTCGTGCGTAGCTTATGCGGTAGAAGCGAGACGAAAAATGAAATTTCATTTTTTTTCGTTTTAGATTCCTTTTGTATCATTACTTTCCACTCTTCTCCTTATATGTATTAAAAGAATAATTTTTTTTTAGTTCATCTAGATGTTTTATGGTGAGATGTCTTTTTCTAACAAATATAGTTTACTTCGTGCCACTTGTTTCTCTGTTTCTCAATGAACTTCCTTATCTTCTGAATGTATTTCTAATGATATCCTGTGCTAGATATCTTAAATATTCTCTGTTTCACTTCGATATATCTCTCTTGATATGGTCGCTTCTTGATATCTCCTGCCTGGATTTCTTTCTACGTATATCATCTTCTATAATATCTTAAGCGCACCGCCCTCTTACCTGAATAACTGTCCTAAATATATATAGTTGATATTTTTCAATAAGTATACACATCGTTTTCTTTTGTTCTTTTGAAAATTATCAAACGCACAGTATGTCGACTTAAGAAATGTCATCTGAAGAAGTCAACAAGGACAACAGCGAAAACTCACTGATAACCTGCTCGAAGAACATGTGTCCGTTGCTATGAAAAGACTAGACAACAACAGCCAAGAGAAGCAAGTGCAATAACAATAAAGAGAGTAAAAACTTTCTGTCCTAATTGTGATAGTTTTTTTTTGCGTTGCTTGTTTTAACGAAAAGCATTTCTCTCCGCAATAAAAAATAGGTCGACTAGTGATGTAGACGGAGTAAATGTAGCACTAATTGTCACTTTGTTTTGAAAAAAAAATGAAAAAGTCGATTTTGTAAATGATTTTCTTGTTAAAATACAGTGTGAGCCACCGGTGGCCCACATCGCCTCGAAAGGATTAATATGTTTTCTCTCGTATAAAGACTGCTTTTCGAACGATGTTGATAAGAAAGTGCACACAAACTTCTGGGAACGTGCGTCAGAGGACATTTAAAAAAAGCGTAGCATCTTTTATCAGTATACAACGTTCCAACAGTTTGAGGGACCCATAGTTACGACAGTGAAAAACTATATCTTTGTATCTGTTGCACTGGCGAGTCGTTTCCCTTTCAAATAAAAGCAAAGGGATTAGGCAGCTTTTAAATGGCCAGATACTGACAAGTCAAGCTCAGGGTTCCATATACGTGCACAAACAAGTATTTATGTACTCCAGCGTTAATTTCGAGCATATAGTATCAAAAATTTTCAATTAAGAATGACGTATGTGTTTTTAGAATGATTTGACAGCAAAGGTCGGCATGTGTGATCAAAATTTGATATGAATTGAGTAAAATCAAATGACTTGCGATTTTATTCCAATTAAAACTTGAGCTTGAAGACTTTTAGATGTGACTTGGTTTACGTTGTGTAAAGATCTTATGTCTTTTCTATCATGTGAGTCAATGCATACAGGGATCAATTTTGAGAGAATAATGACACCTCAGAGGAAATTTGGATCTATTAGTTGTTCGATTAACTGGTTGAACTACATTTGTTGAAAAATGTGGCGATGTTTGAAATGTAGGAATAGGTTGTAAAATAGATCTTATACAAAATACGTAGGATATCTTTTCGCCCGATTCGAGTTTTTCCAGGACTTATTCGTCCTCGTATGCATTCCAACCATTCCAACAATGATTCCAGATAGAACTCGACGAGCTCTATCGATTGGTAAAAAAATTTTTCCAAAAAGTCACTTCCTTGACCCTAAAAATCCCAAAAAACTGACAAAAAACACGCCAAAATTGCATAATTTTCAGAAATACCTGGGCCGATTCGCCTGAGTGATATCTGATATCATTCCAAACATGATTACAGATCAAACTCGATGAGATCTATCGATTCCAATCATCAGATTTCCCATAACTCACTTTCTTTGTTCCGAAAAACGGGAAAAACCGCCCAAAATCATCAAAAATCAAAGAAAACTCCTGGCCGATTCGCCTGTGTAGCATCTAGTACCCTTCCAAGCATGATTCCAAGTCAATCTCGATGACTTCTATCCATTTCACACCTCATTCGCGAATACGATTCTACTGAATAATGTCGAATTTAAAAAGATCGATAATAAAAAAATATCGAATACGCCAATTATACAAACATCGAAAGGTGAACAAGGTGCGAATGATTTCGTTTGAGAAAGGCATTGTTTTTCGCTCTCACCCTCAATCTTACACATCTAGCTGCACTCTCATTTTGGTTTTCGAATGGTTTGATTTTTGATATTTTTCATTTCGACCTTTTAACATTTCGATCAATTTCAGGTTAACCGGCTAGTCGCTCATCAACCTCCCTTCGGTCGGTCACTCACGGCCCGCCATTCACCTTTGTCATCTGTTGTTCTACTTCACATTACTCGCATGAAAATTTGACACATTAGCCTGTCTCTTTCAGCAAAAAATTGATTCTTTTCTCTGCTTTCAACGAAATGATGCCTTGTCCAATATTTTCATTGAGGGATATACATTTGCGAAATCCTTTTCAAAAATCGTTGAAGCCTGATAAAGCTATTCCAAGTGTACAGTTTAAGAATAATCTGGAATTTAAACGCCAAGACGATCGTCGGCCTCCCTCCGGTCGGCCACTCACGACTAGCCGTTGGCGCATACACGATTAGTTTTCCATTTTCACACCGAACAGTTGACCCGCTCATAATTGATCGGTTTCTCATCCGAGATATTGAAACTTTACATAATATAGTGTGATCTTTGTCACAGATTCTACTCTTCCCTCCGCTTGTGGAACTCGATAATTGAGTGGTCTCGTTCTCAAAAAGAGTATCAGTTAAATTTTCTTAAAGATCCTTTAAACTATCTGCGTCTTTCAACTCTCATTTACACTGAGTCGGTCTGCAACAGAAGCTGTCAAAATTCAACATGACTGTGCGACCTACAGAACATATTCTATTACTCTTTTCAATTTAAAGAGCTGGTAATCTGCAGGGCTTATTCTCGAAGTTCGAAAAGACATCAGCAATATTCGTTCAAAAATCATTGACATGAGCTGAGACTCTTATAAATCTCATCTCTTAAATAATTTTTAAAACAAACGCCTAGTCGTTCGTCGACCTCCCTCCGGTCGGTCACTCACGGCTAGCCTTTGCCATGCTACCTCTGCTATGTCCTTCACAACTGACTAACTTTCAAACTGAATAACTGCTCTTCCTTTAATTGTCGCTTCGAGGGTGGTAATTTTCCATTTATTTGATCCCGAAAAGAAAATAGATAAAAGTTTTATTTTATGATTTGCTGTGAACAGAACACGCATCATAGTGCACCCTATGTTTAGGATACTATTTGTATAGGCAATGCCTCTGTAGTTAATAAGATGGAATTGCATTTATGGGTATATAACTTTGGCACATATTTCCACTAAATTCCTGTTGGAAGACTAGACGTACCGCAGCCTAGAAGACACAAATGATATTAAGCTTATACCACTGTTTATGATTTCTTGAACTAGAAATATCATGATGTATGGTATATTAAATCTTCTTCTGTAAACTCCTAAACTACTCTATTGGCCCACATCACATCCAGCAGTAGCGTTCAGACCACTATCTTCTACAAAAGATTTTAGGAAGACACAGAAAAATATCTCTTCTGGAAAAAAGAAAGAAGCAGAAGGTTCGCGACTAAGAAAAAACTAACGTCATATTCGAGTTCTTTGACCTCGATTACCCTTCGGTCAACCTTTACTCGACAAAACAATTTTCTTCTTACTTAATTAGTCCATTAGCTGATTAGCGAATTAGAATTTTAAGAAACTAACATCAGATTCGAGTTCCTCGACCCCGAAAACCCTTCATCAATCGTTTGCTACTCACCATGGTTAATTTTTCATTCATTTATTGAATGCTGCAATTTGATTGGATTATGCAAACAAGCAAACTTTTTGCATTGCAACGACGAGATTTATGACGCTATAACCGTCTCTTTCACAAAAGGGAATAATTTGCAGTACTTCTCAAATTTTTCTGATTCATACGTTCAAATGACTCAACCAATAGGATATCTCTGCGAAATTAGCGATTTTCTTCTGTTCAACTAAACTGACACGCAGCGCCATCTTTACAGCCTTTGTGAAACAATAGCAATCATAAAATATATTATTCAATTGGTTAATCTTTTCTACGTCCGTGAAATAGAAAAATACTACAAATTATTTAGAAAAAAATTTTCTATATTCTATGAGTATGAATGCGTGATAAAACATATTCTCATATTCTATTGGTTTAAATAAATCAACCAATCTTTTTTTCGGTTGCTGTGTTCGTATGCTGTGAATACAGTAATTATGCGATTTCTTACTGATGCAGTGCTCGCAATTCGCGAATGAGGTGTGAAATGGATAGAACTCATCGAGATTGACTTGGAATCATCCTTGGAATGGTACTAGATGCTACACAGGCGAATCGGCCAGGGGTTTTCTTTGATTTTTGATGATTTTCGGCGGTTTTTCCCGTTTTTCGGGACAAAGAAAGTGAGTTATGTGAAATCTCATGATTGGAATCGATAGATCTCATCGAGTTCTATCTGGAATCATGCTTGGAATGGTACTAGATGCTACACAGGCGAATCGGCCAGGGGTTTTCTTTGATTTTTGATGGTTTTGGGCGGTTTTTCCCGTTTTTCGGGACAAAGAAAGTGAGTTATGGGAAATCTCATGATTGGAATCGATAGATCTCATCGAGTTCTATCTGGAATCATGTTTGGAATGATATCATATATCACTCAGGCGAATCGGCCCAGGTATTTCTGAAAATTATGCGATTTTGGGGTGTTTTTTGTCATT